CCACTATGCACTTAATTGCTCTTATCTATATGATAGTTTATTATTTAATTAATTTATTAGGGAATAAATAATAGGTAATTGTTAATTGTCAGTACGGGTACCTGGCTGCATCCGAGTTGCCGAGTTGGGTCCGGGATTTTTACAGGTACTACACTAGTTAGTAGTTGGGTTTTAATTTTTAATTTTTTTTTTGGTGAGTACTACATACTATTATTTTATGATTATGATCACGATATGATCAGAAAATTAAATGGAAAAGAGGGGATTATGATAAGAGAGGCAAATGCATTTCGAGGAGCAAAAAAAAAATGTATACCGTAGGAATACACATTGAAGACTGCAGTATGTAAACTCCAGCTCATTGTAGAATGATTATTTAGAAGGCAAATGATTATTAAAGTTTAAAATTTGTGTACACAAAAATCAACTAGAGTTTATGAATTACGAAAACAAATATGTATCGATTTCATTATGTTGTATATAGGACATGGGTAGTAAATAGTAAATAGTGAATGTCTAGTTAAAAATGAAGTTTATTTATAACTAGACATTTTATTAAAATTTAAAGGTTATTGACTTAGGTACAGAAGTAATGAACGAATATTTTACATAATTATGAATATTATTGAATTAAGTCTTGTATGGATTTTTTKATTGAGGAGGTTTTCGTTCATCGTGTATTTTGTGCATTTTAGTTGCTTCATAATTTGAAAAATTGTCACACCTTTCGAATCACTTCTGCACCAACTACTGTTATTACTTATTCTATCTATAAATATTTTTATTGTGATTATTAAATAAATAAATTACAATCGACATTGCATTGCAGATATTTTAACAATCATTAAATCCTGAAAGTTATTTTGGTTATAATTATATGTATTATAAATGATACATAATATTGAAATACTTATGTATAGATTTTAAATGATATAATTATTGCCAACATAGTTTCATTATAATTTAATACGGTAAGTGATTCTGTATTCTTTCTACAATAACTRCAGTAGTATTACGTTTGTACTCAAAACGATTTTACTCGTATATAGTCATATTTTCGTATTAGCTTTCTAAAACCATATAGAATACATATTTTATAGATAGGAACGCATAATTACGCATATATTCATTATTCATATGTACAGGTTGATTCACCAAGCATTCACCACCTAACATTTCCGACAAATTACCCACTAAATAATTATTTATTATAAAATAGAGKGATTCTCGTAAAAATAATAGAAGTTTGTATCGCCACAGGAGTGCAGGATTAGGAGACTGTCTGACATTCCTTAAGTAGGTACCWATTACCAAATGGAGAAGGACTACCCTCTWGTAGCACCGTGGTTCAGCAATAAAAAAAAAGTAGGTATTATCAAAAATCTCAATAATTTTAAAATATGATTCTATAGGTAGTAAATTAAAATTTCTAAAAATCAGAATCATTTGGATAAATTCATTATCAAATGAAAAAATGGGGAGGATGTAGTGAGCATGTGAATCCTCTATAAGTACTTATAATCTGTGCGCGGTAGTTGACAGTAATAATGTTATAATAGACAGAAATCGGTAGAATATCAAGAATATTGAATATAACAAAAATAAAAACTTATATAATATTACTAGGTAGATACATAACTTTAAGTAAAGAGATAAAACTATKTGAAACAAAATATTTTGTAAAAGGTTTAGTAAAAATTATATATTGGTAGAACTTACTATAAACTATTTGGGTAATAAAAGAAGAAAATGAGCAATTATTAGGATAATAACTAGCCACTAGGGGCTAGGGCTAGGATTTATGTGCAATAAAAAATGATTAAATATCCATATGGTTTATTAAAAATATGCAA